CAGTTTAGGTAATTAGACACTGGCTTAGCTCATCATCATTGAAAACCATAATCGATGTGATACGGATGCCACCGCTGGCACTCGCACAGCCCTACGTCCGCAGGAGGGAGGTGATCTCATGCTTCACCGAGTACAGCCTCGTCGATGGACCCCTATCAGTTGTCACGAGGGAGACTCTCCAAGACCTCCGCATTGACCTTGACAAGGCACTCTGTGGCTGCGCGTCAAGGACATTGCCGGACGGCTTAAAGCTAGACTAACTCGTCTTTTGCGGCAGCCTATGTTGGCACAGCCCCGATAGCACCGGGTACTTCCAGCAACAAAAACAAATCAGAGCTGACGAGATGTGTACATACGCAGCTGGCACACAGTGGCTGACTGATTTGTTCAGGACATCTAATGGTCGCCAATGGCCGAAGCTAGCTAGCAAAACGATCAAGCTGATCGATTATAGTTGCCAGCCGAAAACACACAAAACGCATGACACTCGAGGACTGGTGATTGCAACCTAGTGTCCGACACAGGGATGCATGGCACACCGTCGCGTGGAAGTCTAGCCAGTGCCTCCTCGAGTTAATGCGGGAGTACTTCAGGCTAAGGCGGCCCTGGTCAGCATCGGCCAAGTCAGATGCAGCCCAAACAAACTGGTCACACAGTGCGTCAACTGACTTCATTGACCAGATCAAACGATGTCTAATCTGCCAAACCGGTGCCTAATCCACTAAACCAGCTGATAAATCATGGTTGGGAGGGTAATTACCCAGTTTAATACTTTAATTAGGTCAAGGGGCTAGATGTACCAAAAAATAGATTAGGGCTCCGTTGCTAGAAAAGAAATTCATAGGACTTTTGGAGGATTATAACCCTTGGGAATTTTTCCTAAGTTGGTCGTTTGATTTGTAGGAATAGATCCTATAGGAATTTTTCCTAAGAAATCATTTGTACTACGTTCCACAGGAAATCTAGCATCCACTCCAACCTCTTTTTACAATTCTTTGTTTTTCCTGTATTTTTCTCGTTCCTGCATTTTGAATTCATGTTAATCAAAGAGGCCCTTAGGAGGGAAATGGTCCAAAGCTGATACTTTAGGGTGTTAAACAGACTTATCTCACATTTTATTGACATTCTTTTTTCCTTTGAAAAAGGTTTGCTGAATTTTACGATTGACTATGTCGAAATAGTATAAGATAAAGTGTAGCTTTTAAGTAACTTTACTGGAAAGATCAACAGATGCTGTAGTTGCTAAGTTATACAGGAATGAAGAACTACTGCTATTTACTAAGATGATCAACTAGATAATTTGCCCTTGACCTCGGTGACAACTACACTTGGTATAGATAGATCCGGAGCAATCGTTGAAAGGCGAGCAGAGTATCCATCGTATGCTTCCATTCTGTGATTTGAGAGACATGATGCATCTATACAGCAGTAGTAATTCGAAAGTGTGGGAAGGATCGCCGTATGCGCCACAGCAGGCTAGCATTTGCTACTACTCCGTATTTACTAAGATGGTCCCTTGGTGGCAACTATACTTTGGTATAGATAGATCAGGAGCAACTGTGGAAAGAAAAGCAGCTGTTATCCGTCATATGCTTGTGATTTGAGAGACATGATGCACAAAAGTTTTTTTAAAATAGTTGTGTGTTTTGCCACCGCCTTGTGCTTTTGTGACCAAAGTACACGCTTGAGCACAATTATGCACACATTAAGCGCAATTATGTGCTAGGCATTTTGCTATCACCTAGAGCCTAGGCGTGCCTTTTTTAACTATATTGATGCATCTATATGACAGTACTAATTCGAATGTGTGGGAAGGATTGCGGCGCCACAGCAGGCTAGCATTTGTAAGATTGAAAGGCATAGTTTGGTACCGTCATCAATTAGAAATACATGGACCTAGAGCAATTTAAGCAAAACGTGAGTACGTTGTGGAAAAGGGGCTGCAACTAGCAGACGAAGAGCATCGCACCTTTTGGTGTGCGTTGTGGCGCTTGCCGGCCCTCCACCTGCGGATCTGGCCGTCCTTCATCGTTCTGAAGCGGAACTTCATGGAGCTGACACGCACACCACCGTGAGATTCAGAAATGCAGGCAATACACTGGCGGTGAAGGGAGGGTGAGTTGGGAACCTACGAGGGGGCCTTCATCTTGTATTTCTTGACTTTGGAGATGGTGGGCGTGGTCGGCGCGCGGGACCTGCCCTTGATGGCGTAGTGGCGCACCTGCATCGCCATCACCGGAGGCCGGACGATCGCAGCGGCTGCCGCGGAGTGGAACAGCGAGCCCATGATGGGCAGAGGCGCGTGGGTGTGGGAGTGGTCGCGGCGGAAGGGGAGGGAGGACACGGGCGGGCGGGCATGGACGACGGTGGGGGAGGAGAGGAAACGGCGGGCGAGGCCGCCGGCGGAGGAGCAGCACCACCGCCGCATCGTGCCGTGTTGTTGCGTGGCGGGCCTCAGCAAGCAGCTAGGGTTTCAGTTTGCTTCTCTCCCTCATCTGTCATGGAGCGTCCTGAGAAGATAGCCCAGCCCAAGCTGGCGCCTACTACTCCAGCCCAGCCCATTTCACACCACTCGTGTTTTACTTAACAACACAATCGTTGAAACTTCCTATTCGCCGCTCCTTGCGTCGAATTGTTGACGCAACGCATATGCCACACACAGGGAGCGAGGGATCTGGGCCGGCCCCCTTAAAGCGTGACCACGAGTCAACCGGTTTTGGGAACCTTCTAGATTCAACTCAAAAAAAAGGGAACCTTCTAGATGGTTCCCAGAACCTGGTTTTTCTGTTTTTCTTTCTTCTACTGGGTTTTTCGTTTTTTATTTTCTGTTTCTTTTTCTGTTCTTTTTTCTTTTTCTTTCTTTTCAGTTCTTTATTCTTTCTTTTTCGTTTATTTTTTCATGTTTTCTCTTCAAAGTGTACTTTTCTTTTCAAGTTTTTTCGAAAATTTCAAATATCAATCAGAATTTCAAAAAAATTCTTGTTGTAAAATTTTGTTCAGAATTTTAAAACGATGTTCATAGTTTCAGCATTTTTGTTTACAATTTAAAAATGTTCCTTTTTAAAAAATCAAAAAAAAATCGAAAATTTCAAATTTTATTCACATTTCAAAAATTGTTCCCAATTTTCTAAAAATGTTCTGATTTCGAAATTTGTTCATGTTTAAAAAAAATGGAAATTCCAATTTTTTTCCATGTTTTCAAAATTGTGCAATATAAAAAGTTGTTTGTAATTTCAATATTTGTTTGTATTTTCAAGAAAGTTCATAATTTCAATCTTTTTTCCGTGTTTCTAAAATTTGTCCGGTGTATCTGTCGGATTTCGGGTTCCGTCAGACCCTTGAGGTTCGAACACTAGGGTGCGCGCGGAGATCTCTCCCCTACCGATCTACGTTCAATCTCCTCGCGTGATTTAAGCTGGAAACAACGAACAACACAAGAGACACGAGGTTTATACTGGTTCGAGCCACCGTTGTGGTGTAATACCCTACTTCAGTGTGTGGTATGGTGGATTGCCTCAGGGGCTGACGATGAACCGTACAAAGGAAGAACAGCCTCGCGAGAGGTGTTCTTGAGCTGGTGCGATGAACTGCTTGGGTGAGTTCAGTCACCTCTCTCTCTCTCTCTCTCTCTCTCTGCTAGGGCTCTATCAGATCTCTAGATGTCCTCCCTTCTCCTTTTCTCCCTTTTTCCCCTCCTTCTACTCTGTGGTGGCTAGCTCTGTTTATAGAAGCCCTGGGCCTCTCCCCAAATAATGAGCGGGAAGGGCGCCAACAATTGTCCATTTTGAAGGGGAACATCTAGTACAAGTTATCCTGACCAAAGGTGGTCTTCGGCTGCCAAAAGCACTGGTGATGACGCCGTCTTGGGCTCCACGGTGACCTCCATCCTGCCGCTCTGCTGGTCTTGGTCTCGTTGCACCAGAATGGTAACCTTTGCCCGATGCCCTGGTCTGTGCTTGCCCCCTTTGCACCAAAGGGGAAACAAGGACACTGCACAGGCCGGCGCCCGCCTGGTCTCGATCGTCATGACTTGCGTCATGGGCTCCTCGCGAGATACCCCTGCCTTGATCTCTTCGCCTCCTCGCGAGCCTGCCTAATGAGGCTGCCTTTGAGGAAGCTTTCTGTCGTCCGCCCCGCGAGGCTTGGCCCCTCGCGATGGTTTTGAGCTTGAGCTGATGAAGATGGGCCGCGCTGGGCCCCCACTTGAGCCACGCCGCAGGCCGCATGCAGGCAAGTCTGGGACCCCCATTCCCAGAACGCCGACAGTAGCCCCCGGGCCCAAGGCGCGCCCGGGCTTGGCCTAGCAGGGGAGCGAAGGGGCGAGCGCGAAGCGCCGCGGGCCCCAACAGCCTGCGGCCTTGGGCGCCGCGTGGCGATTGATTGGACGTGGGCGTATGCGCTTCCCCACGACGCCTCAGCGACCACATGACTTGACAAGTCCCTGCATGCAGAGAAACCGGTCATGATTACCTGCGATCGTGGTGCTCGGTGGTTGGCCTCCTCTGGCTATAAGTACGGGGCTGCGCGAGCCCCTTCAGTCCATCCCTTCCTGCTGCTCATTTCCTTCTTCTTACTTGTTCTTGCTCCTCCTTACGCCAATGGCACCAATCCGCCGGTTTTCTGCAGAAGAGAAGGGAAAGGCCCCCCGAGAGGGTCCTGACCCACTTTCGCCGAAGAAGCGGCTGGTCCTCTGCCACCGAGATGAGGATGCTCAGCAGGAGGCATCGAGGCCCTGGTACGAGCGGCCACCGCCTGGGTTTCCGCTACCCTTGTACGCCCGTGTCGTGGGTCCTGGGGGAGAAGGCGTCGAGCGACATCGATGGTGCCGCCGTCGACACCGGTGAGGCACGGTGGTGCGCGTCGTTCCTCCTGGAGTCCACGCCGAGCGCTCCTCTCGCGAGCTCGTGCTCCACGCCGCCATGCCTCCAAGCTCTTGGATTCGCCTTCCTCCTTCCCTCGCCTTCGAGATGCCGCCGAGCGAGGCTCTTGAGCTCTGGCTGTAGCACGCTGACTGCAGTACCCTTGCGACCGCGGAGGTCGCGGTCGTCGCTCCGGGCAAGGTCTTCATGACCCGGGGCTGGGGCGAAATCGCCCGGGTCTGCCGGACAGTAGGTGCCCTCGTAATTCATCTTGAATACGACGGCGCCTCCCTGATGTTCTTCAAGGTCTTCGATGCTGAAGGACGCCGTCTGGAGTGCTGCCCCAGGGAAAGCGGCAGGGGCAACGAACTGGCGAGGACTTGGCCCGCCCATCGGTCCTCTAACAGCTCTTCAGGCAGCAGCGGAGGAGCCGGGGAATGCAGCGGCTCCCCCGAGCTCCTCGTGACTCCGGAGACGAGCGACGACAGCTACGAGCCCCCGAACTCACGCCGTGCTCGGAGCGGGGCAGCTGCGTCCATCCGCCGACGCCACTGATCTGGATGGGGTTGGCGCCGATGTTGGGCAGCCCACTGTTGACGATGGCGTCCCTTGCGGAGGTGCGGGTGATTAGCGTTCCTTAGGATTAGTACTTTTTTGCCTGCGAGGAATCGAAGCAACACCCCGTGGGGGTATGTAAGGCGTCTGCCATGTCTTTTGCGAACATTATGTCTTAATATGAATCAATGCGAGGTGCTTGTCCTGTCTCGGCTCGGCTCCCCCTTTCTATCCTCACGAGGACGTGGCGCTCTACACTGACAGGTCCCAGTCCCCAGGCAGGCTTCAGCCGTCACTGATATGCTAGGTCATGATGCCGTGGTCAAGGCCAGGAGGTGAGCGGCCCGAGGTCCGGTAAGAGCCCCCGAGTCGCGATGCTCGGGAGGTCCCCTTTAGCGCTCAAGCAGCCCTCGCTGGGTGAGAAAGGAAGGCAACATCGTCGTGACAGAACCGCACTGGGCGAGGGTTTTGCGCTATGTTGGTCCAACTCCTGTAAGGGCGTAACTTATCTCTTGAGTCTGGTGTAGTTCCTCGACGAAGCGCCCGGCCCGAGTGGTGGAAGCTGAGGCACTACTGGGTTAGGTCCTCACGAGCTTCTTCCCACTCCCCGCACTTTCCTTAATTCTCTACGTCCTCAGGTCCCGGCCGTCGAGCGAGCTCAGCCGCCGCTGGTATTACAGGTCGCGATGCCGTGGGTCAAGGCCAGGGGGTGAGGGTTGGAGAGCCAGTAGGAGCCCATGAGTCGCGATGCTCAGGCGTCCCCCTTTTAACGTGCAAGCGGTCCGTGCCAGAGAGAGGGAGAGGCAGCTCGCGACGTCCCCAGCGTTGCTCCTAGAGTAGGTCCTGCACACCAATCATGAAGAGAAACAAGACCTGTTGTTACGGTTGCCAGCCAACCTTTGGTCGCTCCGGGGAAGTGATTGGGGCACTGAGGGCCTGGTGAGGTGGTGCCTTGCGGGGCTGCCGCGACCAAAGCTCGACCACTCAGATTTATCGGCGTTGCAGGGACGGACCCATGCGCAAATGCCGTGCCAGAGCGAGCGGCTCCATAGGTAGGCGTCAATCGAGCAGACGATTAGGTCGGGTATGTTAAGCACACAGGAGGAAAATCATTTTAAGTAGACGCGGAAAAAGCAAACATCGTTGGGCCAGGCCCGAGCAGCTCAGGGTTGATGCAGCCCGAGGGGAGCCCCCAACAAGGTAAGTAAAGAGTATAAGCAAAACGGATACATGCCGCAGGGACGGACCCACGCGACCTGGGAATGATGCGACCCTGTGGGCGCTCCCAGCTAAAAATGGAACTTAGAAAGATGTCACCTGGTGCCGTTGAAGATGAAGTGATGTTGAAGAAGTGGGCGATGCGCGATGATGACGTCGACCCTCACGAGCCCCCAGGCCCAGGAGCCTCGAGAGGCTCCGGAGGCGCAGGTGGGCCTTCGAGGGCCATCTCCATCTCCGCCAGGACCACACAATGCCTGCCCTCCTGGGCCTCCAGAATGCTCCTCAACAGGCGCTGATGAGTGGCGACCGCGTTCGGCCGGCCGAAAGACATGCGAACGTAACTGTGAGGTGGACCCTCGCAACGCCCCACGCGTGAAGTCCAGAGGCACTCCTGAGACGCGGCTCGGTTGAGCCCTGGCACGTCAACGCAGACGCACAGCCCACCATCCTCGCCTGGATGTGGGGCTACGGTGGGCAAGCGGCGGCTGCCGCGCATGACTCTCGACTCCTGTAGCTCCTGGGTGTTTTTTGCGATGAACTCCTGAGGGTTTGGTCTTCCTTGCCTTGTACCTTCCTGAGGGAAACGTGCCTGGAAGCACCCCTCCAAGTGGTGCCCGAGAGCCTCCCTCGCGACCTTGGCAAAGTCGGTGGCTCTCCAAGAAAGAGCCCCCGAGCCCTGCCTGAGGAGGGCGCCGGGCGTGCCTTCCTATGCAAGAGAGGGTGGCGCTCCCTGATTGGGCGCAGATCCTAACGCAACACCTCCGGAGGCGCCTGCCTCCTTATGGCTTGGGCC